TTTTAAAAGTGCTTTTTAAAAATATTATTATTATTACTGTCATCTAACTGTCTCTGTACTTTCATTTGAATTGGGAAAGTTAGAAAATACTGCGATATTATTGCGATATACACAATAATATCATGGACCATCATCAAATTACAAGTCTAGTGATGGTGCAGCATGAGCTAAAAAAAGCAGAGGGAACTACATAGACCATGATCCTTCACTCCGTTTCAATGGAGACTACATGAAGAAATAACTTCTAAGCACTTTGAAGTGTTAGTTTTTTGGGTTAACTCTTGTTAAGGCATATTAACAGGAAAAACTAGTGCAATCAGTTTTGTTCGCCACCATAAAATATTGCAATAACTGTCGTACCATGAGATGCATATCGTGAAAATATCGTACCAAGAGATTTGTTACATACCTAGTAAATGTAAGAATATATACAGCTGGTGTCCCTGGGGATGGTCTGGTAGACAACACACTGAGCATTTGTTGGGTCTCGACAGTTCAGTCCATGTCAGAGCTGAAGCAGATCTCTTAAAAAATCTTAAGATTCAATAAAATTCAGGAACTTGTAATGAGGCAAACAAGTCCAAATGGAATTCATATACAACTCCTATACTTTTTTTTGTTTTTTTGTTTGGTAGATAGTTTTTTATGTGTGGGTTTGGAGTACAAAGTGGTCCAGACTCTTGTCAGTACGGCTGATTTGGCTGAAAATAAATAGGTTGCAGATTTCCATTAACGTGTCACATGTTCAAGAGATTGAGAGTTCTCCTTTTATTACAAGCTGGACAAACAGAAACGAATCAAGAAAAAGTACAAGGGCCCGTAACAATTTCCCTCAAGTTTATTTCTGCTGACAAAGAAAATGTGTCAGCAGAAATAAACTTGAGAGAAATACAGGAACTCTTGATCTTTGTGCCACGTTTGTTTCACATGGAAAGGCCTGGTAATTACAGTGTACGGAAACTAAGCGTCTCTAAATATCTGCAGTCTGACAGTGAAAAGGGACATGAGGCACATGTGTGGAGTATGAAAGCTTTCAGAAATATTCATTTGCACAGGACAGAAATCCATGCATATTTGGGAAATCCATGCATATTTGGCTGTAGATGAGCATAAATCAAGATGCCAGACTTTTGCGCCGCATACGGACTGAACTAGGACTAAAACAGGTCTAAAGCAGGACTGAACTAGGACTAAAACAGGACCAAAACAGGACTCAACCTGAACTGAACCAGGACTGAGTGTTGGGACGAGCCTGGAGGTGTGCCCTTGTAGACCGTCAGGTGACCGCAGGCAAAAGGGCCGGCGCAGAGCTCCACGCCCACAGGGCTAAGGGCAGCAGTTGCCCGATCTCTAGTGACGGGCGAATGGAGCCTCGTGAAGCACTGACACTTCAGTCGCACTATTGTCTCAAATGGTTCGACGTGTCTGAGGCCTCGGAGAAACACTGACCTCTAGTGGACAAATTTAACCATTGGCGCGCAGGTGTCTCAAGCATCGATGAAGTATTGTTAGTGTAAGACAATACTTGTGAACCTAACAACAACAATAATAATGATGATTTAAAATAAGAAAACAGGTGACCTTGTTAGTTGGAATTAGATCAAAGTGATCCCAAACCATGGATCGCTTTTTTCCACTTGTAGATGCCATCGAAAATGAAACAAATGCCAAAAGTCGCCAAAAGTCGACAAAATCACCACTAACATCACACAATACTCCTAACTACCCAACATGTTTAAGAAATATTGGTGCATCTTTTATACTGTAACAGTTTAGCGCTTGTCAAACCACAGAAGTGCGCTGAACACTCTGAACACTCTGAACCAATCACAGAGCGGAACATTCGCTGAGCCAATGAAACGCTTCGATACACTGAAGCGACTGACACGCAGAGCGAAGCAGTAGGGGGAGGGAACGACTCGGCTGCTGCGAGACGAGCTCCGAGGCAATGCTTCGAAGCAATTTGTTTCAGAAAGAACGAGCTCCGACTCATTTGCCCATCACTACCGATCTCATTTTGCGGACACCCTGCTCCACAGACTCGGGGCTTCTCACTCTCTCTCAAGTGCAAGATTAGTCCTGGTTTAGTCCTGGTTTAGTCCTCCTGGTTCAATCCTGGGATCAATCCTGGTTTAGTCTGTATGTGGCATCTTGATCAGTTTGGCATCTTGATCGATGTTTCTTCTGTTCAATAAATAATGCGTGTGAAGTGATGATGTATTTTGAAAGTCGAGTCGCGCCTGTGAATTTGTTTTTGTACTGAAGAAAGCGTAATCGTAAATTTTCATTTCGCCATTGTAATTCTTGATGTCGAAACTTTTAAATTCATATTTTGATGGATAAAATAAACACAACATATTTTATGTATGACAGGACTCATTCCAGAGTTTACGAATATTTATTTTATGCTCAACTACAGAAACATCCCCATGGATTTCTATCCTATGCACACAAATATTTCTGAAAGCTTCTTACTCCATACACATACCATAGAATTCTGACCTGTCCTCCTTCTAGAATGTTTTGATGTCACAAGACTACAGCCTCATAGGGAAGTGTGTCCTGTGTATTGCACTCATTCTTCAGAGCTGCTGTAGCGACCTGTCAGCAGCACTGGTGACAGCAGATATTGAGTCAGGAGTACCTAGCTGGAGGAATCATGGAGGAGTCGCCATAGAAAATACATTTTTAAATAGTTTTCCTGCATGATCTACACTAAAGTCACTAAGCATTATCGCCTCCTGTCGCTACGGTCGTCCTCCTGACCAAGACCAGCTCAAGATCCTGTGCAGATTGTTGTAGTAACACTGAGATATGAGTCAAATGTAAAGGACAAATTTAACTACAGAGAGAATAAAGTGTACCTTAACTGTAACCTCACTACCTGCAGCCCAGCACCTGCACCGATCCTGAATCAGTGCTAGTGCAGCCTCTGCAGCTCAGGGAGGGATTCTGGAGGTTCTGAACGTTCATTTGAGGACTGAACATAAACTGAGAATGAGACAAACACAGTGCCGTCTTTATCAACATGACCAGAAACGAAACCAAAAAAACTCCTTACATTTTTTCATTCTCATTGTGGTTTATTTTGTGTGATCATAAATGGTGAAAAAAAAAGTCTTCTTTAAAAAAAAAAGAACTAAGAAAAAAAAAAAGTTGATTGTATTTCTGTTTGGGAGTTAGTGTGTGGAACAATCTGAGTGATAATTTCAAAAAAGGTTAACACTGTTTAAAAAGTTTAACACTGTAAAAGCCTTAAAAAAAAAAAAAAAAAAAAAAGTACTACTACTACTACTACTACTGCTACTACTACTACTACTACTACTACTACTACTGCTACTACTACTACTACTACTACTACTACTGCTACTACTACTGCTACTACTACTACTACTGACTACTACTACTACTACTACTACTACTACTACTGACTACTACTACTACTACTACTACTACTACTACTACTACTGCTACTACTACTACTACTACTACTACTACTACTACTACTACTACTGCTACTACTACTACTACTACTACTACTACTACTACTACTGCTACTACTACTACTACTACTACTACTACTGACTACTACTACTACTACTACTACTACTACTGCTACTACTACTACTACTACTACTACTACTACTACTACTACTGACTACTACTACTACTACTACTACTACTACTACTACTACTACTACTACTACTACTACTACTACTACTACTGCTACTACTACTACTACTACTACTACTACTACTACTGCTACTACTACTACTACTACTACTACTACTACTACTGCTACTACTACTACTACTACTACTACTGCTACTACTGACTACTACTACTACTACTACTACTACTACTACTACTACTACTACTACTACTACTACGACTACTACCACTACTACCACTACAACGACTACTACTATGACTACTACTACGACTACTACTAACTACTACGACTACTACTACTACTACTACTGCTACTACTACTACTGCTACTACTACTACTACTACTACTACTACCACTACAACGACTACTACTATGACTACTACTACTACTACCACTACTACCACTACTACAACTACAACGACTACTACTATGACTACTACTACGACTACTACTACTACTACTACTACTACTACTACTACTACTACTACTACTACTACTACTACTACTACTACTACTACAACAACTACTACTATGACTACTACTACTACTACGACTACGACTACGACTACTACTACTACTACTACAACAACTACTACTATGACTACTACTACGACTACTACTACTACTATGACTACTTCCACTACAACGACTACTACTATGACTACTACTACGACTACTAATACTACTACTACTACTATGACTACTATGACTACTACTACGACTACTACTACTATGACTAGGACTGCTACGACTACGACTATAACTACTACTACTACTACTACAACAACAACTACTACTACTACGACAACTACTACTACTACTACTACTTGGATGTTTCTTCTCTCTACATACATTTCCTTTAAAGAGGAGGTATTCTGAGAAATCTTTTTTTTTCTCCATGTTGTAATGTCATCAAAACATGCTTGAAGAGGTTTTAGATGTTTCAGTAATTAGAATTCTCTCCTGGGCACTGTTGAAACCCTCCTTATGATTAGCTGTGTGATTCTGTGCAAGGCTCCGCCCACAAGCCTAAATCACCCATACTCCCACACAACAGTTCTTCATAAATACACAAAAACATCATACAAAACTGTACACAACATCTTGAAAACCCTGATGTGATGTGCAGTAGATTGTGTGATTGTGTTGTGATAGCGCTCTGTAGGGGGAGTAATTTAGTGCGGGGGAAGACTCAGTGTCAAAAATGAAAAGTGAAAGTATTATGTGTTTGCAGCTATTACCCCATCAAAGTAAAATGCCCCCTCTTTAAGTGTGAATAAAAAGTATGTTTGGACGTGTAAAAGAACACACTAGATTAGAGTTTACCTTCTGAGTGGTGTGAGAGGATGAGCAGGTTGACACAGGACGCCCCCGCTCCAGACCCAAAGATGGTGATCCTCTCGGGGTCTCCTCCAAAGTGACCGATGTTCTCGTTCAGCCAACGCAGAGCTTGGATCTGGTCCAGAAGCCCGTAGTTCCCTTTGGCCGACTGGTCTCCTGTGCTGAGGAACCCTGTGGAGAGCACACAGAGAGAGACGTCAATATAGGTACTGTAAGGGCGAATATGTTGTTTTACTGCAAACTGCTGTTAATGTAGGACGCTGTGGAGGACCAGACACAATTCTCACAAGATGTGACAATATTAGGCCCATGATGGTTGCCATAGTTGTGGTTGACTGGCACACTAAACTTTTAAAGGCTATTGGAATGTGTGACTATGCTAAACAGCTTGCTTTGAAATGTTACAGACTTCTTACAACAATGCCACAGGCTTTCTACACCAAATATGGCAGAACAAAGTGGGGTGAAAGACAGGCTTAGAAGATGCTGTCCTGCTGTGGTCCATAAACTGTAATGAGACCAGTCAGAGGCATTTACCTACAATACAGTTCTGGCTACAAATCTCTGACCACATGGATTCTGATGTATGATTTGAATTTCATTCTGATGATAAGGTTTAAAATAGCCTCCCCCTGGAGGCTGCTGTGATGCTGCAGGACATTGAATGAGGGACACTTTTGTCCAGTGGACTGCTCCTCTCCTCATATAGCCCTGACACTGGATCTGCTGACTCTTCCTCAGCAGTCTCCAACCTTTTTCCTCTGGTGAGCTACCTTTACAAAAAGAGAATGCGAGTAGAGATCTACTGGTTTTAGCAGACACAAGAAATGGAGTAAATATAAGAGCCACGGCCTTAGATGAAGTACAGTCAGATGCCTATAAAACATAAAGCATTATCCATAGTAGTGTACGTTAGGCATCAAAATGATACATGCATAATGGTAAGAGCCATTTAATTCATCAAAATTCGGTTATTCAACACAATATGTCTAATTCATAAATCCCTCGGGGACCTACTTGGAAGGGGATGAAGAGCTACTTGTAGCTCCTGAGCTACAGGTCGGAGACCCCTGCTCTACCTGTTGACCTTTGAAGAAGTTGAGACTTCTGAGTTTTCTATTATGATTGTATCTTAAGGCTCAATGTTCTTCAATTGCTCCTTTGGAACAAATCAAGTGATTTTGATTTGATTTGACTGAAGAGGAGACACAATATTAGGCCCATGAGATCAAGACAGAAGGAGATTTTGACTTAATTTGTAGTCAATAAATTGTGTGGTTCTGCTCACAATTTTCTGAACTAAGGCTAATGAAGGCTTCTCAAAACATGACTCACAAGCACTCAACCGTATCTCCAAGCCAAATAGGAGCACATGGAATTAAAATCCCACAAAATGACATGATCATTTTCTTCAAGTATGCGCAATCTGGTGGTAAATTAAATAGCGAGACCCTGTGGCATGAGAACTTGTCCTGTCTGCCTACACTGCTCTTTCAACCCATGTAAATCTATATGTAGATTACAGACAAATGTAATACACACAGATAATCTTGTAAGACGGAGGTTTGGCCGTCCAACACAAATGCGTAATAACAAACAACTGCATTTTGAAAACATCTATTTGATTTTTTTTGTTCCAATATCAATTTTCTAGTCATATATACAGACCTAGTATTTTGAATGACCAGTTCAAGCTCCTAGGACCTACAGCAATCTCTAGCCAGTTCATGTCCTAACATATTCTGAGCGCTCTTATTCTTTACCACAGTGAGTTTATAAGCACTTTTGCCATCACGGAAATGTTAACAACAACTAGCATGCTAACAGCGCACCGGCATTATTTCCTGGTTCACAGCTAGGGTGACCAGACGTCCCTATTTCCCCGGGACAGTCCCAGTTTTGAGCCCCGTGTCCCCTGTCCCAGCAGATTTATACAACACCACCGATTTGTCCGAGTTTTATACAAGAAATGTCCCATGTGTCCCTATTTTTGACAAATTTGATCCCTGCAACAGTAAAGAGAGACATAAACTGTCATTTATTGAGGTAAAATACAGAAAAGCTGCTTAAAAATGTCCAAAACACAAAGAAAATGTGACTATACTGGGGTCCACTGCGTGTTCCGACATCCTTTCATTCCGACATTTTGCTATTTAGACAGTGACAATTTTCTGACACTTTTTAGTATCGCTATTCTGACACGTCTTTTTATTTTTTTTGGAAAGTTGCATTAGTCTACCCGATTGTGTCTCTCGCTGTTCTTCGATGTTCTTAATCTCAACAACTATCAAGTCACGCACAAAACCGACACAAACAGCAGCCAACTTCATAACCCCCCAACAAATATACACACCTCAGCACAGGACAGGCACAACTGAAGTTTCACTACATGTCATACTCACACATAAACATCCTTGTGTCCTTGTTGTATTTGTACTTTACTATCGCTTTGTACCGGCCTAAGCATCTTATGAAATATGGAAGCACAAAGTATAATAGGCTTCCACATTCATATTATTCATGTCGGAAAAGTGGAATGTTTGAAAAGTAGTAAAGTGACGCTACTCTGACAATGAAAAGAAATAATGTAGTGGGACGCTCGAAAAATAATGTTCCGACAATTAGACATCAAAAGTCTAAATAGCGGCATGTTGGAATAGCAGCATGGAACCTACAAACCGAACCTGCGTGAAGTTGGCCCCATCAAACTATGTCAATTGTTTGTGCTGCAAAATGTTTTAGTTTTGGAGATATTAACAATTCTTTTATAGGTTAAATTGGGGTCAGTCAGGAAGCTTCAAAATGCTCTAAAACGCCAAAATGGAGTCAGCTGTTTGGTTTGTGCGATTCTGGATCTTAAGATATCAGCTGTTTTATTTTGGACCGATGACGTCTTCCAGCCCCTCAAAATGTTACTCTCAAAACAGCAGAAACTTTTATGAAGTGTTTGTATTTTGTTTGTGCTGTGACAATTTTTATTTGTGCGAGTATATTTCTAAAATAAGTGGCACTTTTTTCATGGTTTGGGTGTTTCTTGCGACTTATACTCCAGTGTGACTTATATATTAAAATTTTCACACTGACAGCCATGAGAGGGCGCTGTGTGCCAGTATCTGCTACTACTGTACCACTGTCACCCACTGTCCTGCTGCAAGTAGTGAAATATTCAGACGATAATGGTAATGGAGCAGCAGTAAAGAAGTTCAGAGTGAGTTAGAAACTTGTGAGCGACTGGCGGAAAGCAAGGATGGAGAACACAGCTTCACGACAACCGGGAGGGTGCGCCATACACCTTTCCTGGAAGTCATTGAATGGCTCGACAAAGCCTGGACAACCGATACCATCCTGTCCCCCAAAATGTGCAACTTACAGTCAGGTGCAACTTATAAATGTTTTTTTTTCTTCTTCATTACACATTTTTTGGCTGGTGCAACTTATACTCCAGAGCGACTTATAGTCTAAAAAATACAGTACTTATTATTTTTGCAGATATTATATAATGTCAATTCCGCTCAGGTGACGGCAGCGGCTTTAACAAAACTAGTGAAGATCTCAGGCTGTGGAAAAGTCATCGGCCAAAAATAAAATTGCTAATATCTTTAGAACCATAATAGTGCAAATGAAACTTTTTGCAGCACAAACAAAACACAAACGACAGACACAATTTTGGGTTGTGTTAGAGCATTTTGAAGCTTCCTGGGGGCTGGCTGACCCTAATTTGACCTACAAAAAAATTGTGAATATCTCAAAAACTAAGACAGCACAGACAAAACTTTTTGAAGCGATGACAGAGTTTTTGTGTAGGTGTGTGTTTGATTAGGGCCAACTTCACGGACGTAGAAACCAGGGGTGTCACAGTTTTTGATTTTGAAACTCTGGTCACCCTATTCACCGCTGATAAAAATGCTTTATAATTAGATGCATACAGCCGTCTGTTTTTGACTACGACACACTGTACTGGTGCGAAACAGTGAAATAATTTGAAACAGTTCCTTTAAATAAACGCGCTCTCTTGAATTCAGTTGAAGTGGATATTTGTGTCCTATATTTCTCCTAAAAAATACCCGTCTATAGTTGCACAGTTGCAGCTCCACTGTACGAGTGTGGAGTGCGGAGGGATACAGTGCGGTAAGTAGGTCAGCTCAGCGTGGCCACCGTTTGAAGTGATGCCACAGCGGCACGCTTGCTCATAGTGGGATCACACCAGCCTCGTTTTAGCGAGCGCTCCCTATACCACCGCAGCTCGACCGCTAACCCACGCTGCTTTGGATAGAGAGAAATGTCAGTGTTGCAACAGAGAAGTACAAAGACAGCAGTAGTGCAAAAGTTATACAAACTGGAAGACGAAAATAGGCTTGAAATGTTCCTCAGCATGATACAGAAGCCCTGAGAGGCAAGAGGAAAAAAAAAAAAGGCAGGTCATTTGGGCTCTGTTTTCTAAAAAATCTACAAAAATGTTGTTTTTCTTAAAAAAAAAAATCATCAAAATCAAAAATCTAAATTTTTTTCTCTTGTGTTTTTTTTCCACTGTTGATATGGCTGATAAAAAAAAAAAAAAAAAAAAAAAAAAAAACACCACTCAGAACCTGTGTTGTCCCAGTATATTCCTGTAAATACCAAACTTCAGCGCCGGCAAACCATTAAGACGTGGGAGGCCGGGATTCAAAACTCACCTTCTCCTGGTTATTTGTGAATTCATTCTATCTGAATACAGTGTTTTCACGAGTTTTACTTTTGAGTTCTCTTTTATGAGTAATATGAGAAGTAAACTCAATACATCACTGATCACACTACAGGCATAAGACGCTGTTTTTTTCTTGTACTTTAGTTGTGCTGTTGTACTTTGTTGATGTGCTCCTGTTTAGCTTATGTGTCAAAGGGCTGCACCATCATGTGACGGGGCTGGAGTCTGAGTTTTAAGGTAGATGAGTTTTTTGTCTTTGCTCGTGTTTGCTTCATGGAGTGGCACTCAAAGTGCTCAGGCCCAGGCATATACTGCTTTTTTTTTTTTTCAGCTGCATCATCTTAGAAAATAGAGCCCAAATGACCAGCCTCTTTTTTCTTCTTCTCTTGCCTCTCAGGGCTTCTGTAGAATCACATAAACAAGATGTATTATGGTTTCTGGTATTTGATATTAACTGTCCTCCATCTGACATTATGACATCATCCAA